TTTTTTTCTTGTAGAGAGGATTTCTCATTCCTTCTCAGACACACCACAGATTTTTACTTCCTCCCCATTGAAACAGCACCAATGACCCCATACTGATTGCTAAATTTATTCTCAGGGCTACTATAACTTGACCAATACCCAGTATCTGACACAGCTCCTTCTTTCAAATGAATTGGCTTCGTGGACATCACACTGCTGGTTTCCTTACCTGAGTGGCCACTCTGTCTCTTTTACTGGTTCCTCTTCAACTCACTGACTCAGCATGTGGACTGCACCAGGACTCAACCTTTGGACCTCTTCATTCTGTACAACTCACTCGCTTGGTCATTTTGTCCAGTCTCATAGCTTTAAATACCAATATACTGACTCCCACACCTTCATCTCCAGTCTGTGTCTCCCTTTAAGGCCAGGTAAGAATCCCCAACTGCCTAGCTAAGATCTCCATTAAAATAACTACCAGGGTCGGGCCTCCCCGGTGGCGCAGCGGTTGTGCGCTGGGTTGCGAAGCTGCCCGCGGCCTCTGCGGCGCCGGTTCGATCCCCGGCTGCTCCCCGGCCACCGGAGGAGGGTCCCACATGGCGCGCAGACCTCTCCTGCCGCCCGCTGCTCCCCTCAGCAGTGTACTTCGGTCCTTCTGCCTGCTCTGCTCCCTGCTCTGGCTCTGGTGAATTCTCTCACCCTCCCGCGCTTCTGACTGTACCCCAGTGCATGTATAAACAAAACAAACAAACAAATAAATAAATCATAAATAAAAATACATGCCTCTTTAAAAAAAAATAACTACCAGGGTCACAAACTCATGTGTCCATAACTAGATTCCTAATCTTCATACATAAATCTGTGCTGTCTACAGGTTTCTTTACTTCAGTTGATTGGAAGAAAATCTATAAATTTAATTCTGAAGACTCATTTATACATCCACTCTGTCAGCAAATCCTATTAGTTTCTTTTTCAAGTACAGAATTTGACCATGTCTCAAAATTTAAAGTGCTGACACATTGCTCCAAGCCCCCTATACTTCTCACCTGAGACTGCTGTAATCTCTCAACTGGTCTGATTTTACCCTTGCTCATCTTGCTCCCTTAAAACTAAGTCACACTTCTGCTCAAAGTCCTCCAAAGTCTCCCATTTCAGAGTAGACGCCAAAGTTGACATGAGGCCTTATGCAGTCTGCTGCATCAACTAGTCTCCACTCTATTTTCCCCGCCTCAACTGCTTCAGCCCTTACTGGCTACCATGCTGTTCCTAGAGTCCTCCAACATGGTTCCATGCTAAGGGCCCTTGCTGTTTTCCCTGTGTGGATTCTCCAAGGTATCCACAGGGTTCACTCCCACACTGCCAAACCTTTGTCCAGATGTTATCTTTTTAAAAAAAAAAAATTATTTATGCATACAGGAGCTCGGGTACAGGCCAGCGATGGGGGTGGTGGTAAAAGGATTCACCAAAGACAGAGCGAGGAACAGAACAGGAAGACTGACTGAAATACACTGCAGAGGGGGGCAGCGGGCGAGACAGGAGAGGTTTGCTGCGCCATGTGGGTTGCTCCCTGGCCGGCCAGAGATCGAACTCGTGCTGCAGAGGCTGCGGATTGCTTCATAGTAGGGTGCTTAACCTTGTGCCACCAGGGAGGCCCTCCAAATGCTATCTTGATAAAATTTTATCCATTCAAAAATTCCAACATCACTCTGCCTCCCCAATTCCCTCTGGCTCTTCCAACTTCTCTCTATAGCACTTTTGTTGTACCATGAAATTTATTTAGTATCTGTCTCCTTCCACCAGAATTTACGTTCCACAAAGGTAGGAGATGTGTATCTTTTAATCACTGCTACATTCTCAGCACATAAACAGTAAAGTCCATTGTGAAGTGTACAGTAAATACTAAATAAGTGAATGAATACTAAGAAACACGATAGGTTTCAAGATATAGTAAAAGGACTAAAAATAAGATATAATCACATTGAAAATATATAGGCAGTTGTGTTGCATTAATATTAATTTGTTGATTCAATAAAGAAGAAAAAAAAGCCAAGAAAAAAAGGTAATTCTACTGACTTTTTACTTAGTAACTTTGGCATAAGAGTCTCATTAAGTTTTTAAGGAGCACATTCTTCTCCAAGGCAGCCTCTGGTCAGAGAAATAGGTAAATCCTTGGAGTGGTAAATCTTCAGGCAACCTAAGTTTAAGTTGATAATTATCATAAACTTTTTAAGATTGATTTATTTATACAAGAACCGGGGTACAGGCCAGATGTGCGGGAGGGTGAGAGGATTCGCCAGAGACAGAGCGGGGAACAGAATAGGCAGACTGACAAAATAACTGCTGAAGGGAGCAGCAGATAAGACAGGAGAGGTCTGCTGCTTCAGGTGGGTTTCTTCCCTGCCAGCCAGGATCGAATACGCGCTGCAGAGGCTGCGGACAGCTTCACAGTGCAGCGCTCAACCACCTGTGCCACCATGGAGGCCCCATCATAAACATTTTTTAAGAACACCCTCAAAATATCAGTCTGGTCTGCCAACTAATTTTATATTTAACCAAAGTTCAAGTGGCAGACTATCTGACTATTCTTACCAGTATCAGAAGGTACCAGTGCTACAATTCCTCCATCCTATTCAGGGGCTTCAGACAAAACTTAATTCTCTAACTTCAGAGGCTATAGATAAAATGCTACTACTAGGAGTGACACTTCCCAACATAACAAACGTATGTCAACTATGGCTCAGATATAGCTTTAAGAGGTCTTACTGTTTTTGTTAATACTACTGTTCCTGCATTCTTGGTAAATTAGATTCCATTATGGCTTCCAAAGTGTCTAATGTACTAAAGGAAACACAGGGAGGAAAGTTAAATTCCCTGAAATAAGCCTACTTTTGTAACAATACAACTCCTATCTTAACCATTTGGTGTATTTTTATAACATGGAAACTGCTGCCACCTGCTGGTGATTCCTATTGACAAAGTTAATACTTGGGAGACAGAAAATTCCAGTTAAAATTCCCTTTCAAAGTAGAGGTGACATGAATGGCTTTATGATTACCTTATCTGATTAATTCTAATTTTCTCTTAACTACAACAATAAAAAAAAAAACATTAAGGATTTCTAATGTAAACAAAAACCCTCTTATCAAAAAATGATCTTGTTGACAATGATCCAGGTTTCAAAATATGGCTGCTGAATCTTTTCTCCATTATACATCTAATCACCAGGAAGCAATATGTCAACTCAGTGCTCATTCATGGGATTCAGAATTTTTCTGAGATGGCAGGTTAATGATCTCATACCAGTATAGAGCTTTGTGGGTCCAGTTGACCCATGTCTGATCAATTTGTCCAATGTTTAATGATTTACTCACAAAGCAAGAAAATTACAAGGGTGCTCAGCCCTAAAACTATACAAAGCTAGTGAAGTGTTCCAAGAAAATAACTGATTTAAAATGATAAAGAGACCTGAATCAAAGGAATTTCACTGATTTGCTACATCTGCTAGGATTAGATCATTAGTTTTCAAAATAAATTTTTCAGTTTCTGACCAATGCAGGAGTCTCAAGATCTAATGGAATTTCATGTAATATTAACAGTAAAAATAGATGGGATAACTGTGACAGCCTATGGAGACAAGAGGCCCAAATGTAGTGTGTGGTTTATCCTGGATGGCGTCCCAGAAAAGATAAAGGCCATTAGGAAAAAACAAGGAAATTTAAATAAACTATGGACTGCAGCTAATAATAACATCACATCAATGTCAGATGTTAATAGTATGAGAGATGGGTTGGGGTATATGGGACCTCTATATATGATCTTCATAATTTTTCTGTAAATCTAAAACTACTCCAAAACAAAAAATCTAGGACCATTGAGCTTGACCAGTAAATTCTACAAGCATTCAAAGAAGATTTAATAGGTAGTTTTTGCAAAGCCTTCCAAAATATTGAAGAGAAAGGAACAGCCAAACTCATTTTATGAGGCTAGCATTACCCAATACCAAAACCTGATAAGAACATCACAAAAAAGTAAATTATAGACCAATATTGTTGATGAATACAGATGCAAAAAGTCTTGGCAAAAGCAGGGCCTCCCTGGTGACGCAGGCGGTTGAGCGCTGCACTGTGAAGTTGTCTCAGCCTCTGCAGTGTGGGCTCAATCCAGGCCAGCCTGTAAGAATCCTACATGGCGCAGCAGACCTCTCCTGTCTCGGCCAATGCTCCCCTCAGCAGTGTATTTCATCAGTCTGCCTGTTCTGTTCCCCGCTCTGTCTCCCTCTCATCCTCCCGCGCATCTGGCCTGTAACCCGGTTCTTGTATAAAAATAAATAAATCTTTATTTAAAAAAAAAGTCTTGACAAAAGCAGATCCTTATGTTACTTCAATCACAAGCTTAAAAATTAAACCTCTATTTTGACTTTAAAAGTTATTAATGTAGCTTTTCCCATTTATCAGTTCTAGATTCAAAGCTTTTATATAAAATCAAGTGACACAGTGAACCTCACAGGTCCACATCAACTTAAGACAAATCTCAGCCCACTTGTAAAAAAAGCCTTCACAATATGGTATAAAACTCTATTCTATCATATACTTGATATACCCAAACTCCCAAAAACTTATTTCAAAGGGCCTTAAGGGGGATACCCCAATGTTTTGTTTCACTCAAAGTCAAAGCTATTCCATCCTAAAAGTAGCTCATAATTCAGGCCTCAAAAATAAGACTTCACAAGTCCTATTGTCTTTGTTAATACTAAGGGTGAAGATTTTGGAACTATGAAAGGAACACTCAGATAAACTACATTTTGAGACTAACCACCAGTCATGTTTTTTAAAATTATAGAGAAAACCCCTCCCATTTCTCTCATGAAACTGCATTTAAAGGCTTCTGTCCTATCTCCACTATGTCATCATAATGCACAATATCCTCAAATAAAATAATCCCTAATAAATATTTACTAACCCATGCACTAAAGAGCTGAGAAGTTGAGATTAAAAAACTGAGAATTAAACTCCTGTTCACAGAAACACTCTTCTCAAGGGTAAAGAAAGTAATGATTTTAATTTCCATTTCTTCCATTTATTCTTATAATTAACTTTAGTTTATAGATAAAATGTGTTGAATGGAAGTTCATGAAACTATGTGGTGTAAACAAAATATGGGAACTAAACTTAAGTTCAGTCATAAGCCCAGGTAAAAGGTGTTGTTCCCTAACTTCTTTCTTCTCACTTTATGTGTTTATGTATCAGATAGTTTTTAAATGTGATTAGTTGCCCTAGATAAACAACAAATAGCAACTCTCCTCTAATTATAAGACAGTTTTTAAATTATTTTTATTTTCAAGATTAAGCATTCTCATTGACAATCCAGAAACAGTCCTTGCTGACTCTTTGGATACACACATTAAATAGTTAAAAGTGATTTCCCAGTATTCAATGACAAGGTATGGAAAAAAAAGAACATATTCACAGCTGTAGCTGAAGTTCTCTGTCCTCTTTTTCCAAAAAATCTTATTTTGTTATCAGGCCACTCACCAAAATCACATGGAAAGACAATTTTCAAAAAGCCAACAAAGCCTAGAAATAAGAATCTAGGTATCAAGCCAAAATTATACCCTCAAACACTGCTCTGGCAAAAAAGGGGGAGAAGTCAAATTCCCCACAACTCATTAGAGAAGACTTACACAAAGAATTCAGAAAGTTAGTACTGGAATTACAGTGGTGTGGTGTTCAAAAAGCAGATAAAGACAGTTCAGCTTGTTCACTTTGGGACTATATCAGGCTTTTTCCTATTCCAGCAGAAGAAATAAAAATTTGAGCTGCTGGAGTTAATATTAAAATTGTCCTTACCAAAGGAAGGCAGGGCCAGGGAGACAACAGAGAACAAAAGTAGCAAAGATAATTACTTTGAATCTAGGCTCTACTGCCCAGGAAAGTTGAAAAGAGTTGAAATCCTTCTGTGTCAGTATCATTAAATTCTAGATTTGGCTCAAAACCACCTAATAAATATCAGGTGACCCACAGTGTCTGTGGTATTAAAAATAGTTTTTAAGTTATCTACAAATTTCTATTCTGAAAAGCAATAGATCAAAATGACAATGGGTCATCCAGTTATAGAGTAAAGGGCTCCTTCTGGAGGACTAATTTAGCAAAAATTTAGATTGGAAGGAATGTAACAGTAAGATCAGGCTCTCAGTACAATTTTAATAGGGCTTCTATCCACCCCAGTTATAAGTAGTACTACTGAGGGGACTCCTACATAATGTCTTAAGAGGGTTGCTTCTCAGAAATAAAGAGATCTTTAAGTTCAACTCTTGATCCCTCTCCTGACCTAAAGTTTGAGTAATAAAATAAATATTGCATTTTTAACTATCAGAGATTCTGGCACATTGTAATTTAATATTCTCTAGTTTACATTTTCTGAACCTTTGGTTTATAATTTTTTTCAATTTTGTTACATTGAAAAATGAGTAAATGTGCCTTAATCAGTAGTACCACGTGGAAAATATAAACCTTGTTCTTCCGTATCTTCTACATAGGAAGAATAAATGAATGGGACCCTAAATATCCTGCAGTTACTTTGTGTACTCAACAAAAGACTAGGGCAAACCATTCTGCTTCCACATCTTGAGCAGTAGGAGTCAATTAATCTTCAATCTCATCTTCCCAAATATCTCCATTAACATCCACAGCATGGAACAACCTGTGGAAGCATAAAGTAAGGTAACTTTTATGCACTTAGAAGAAAATGAAATGTAATTTCTTCCCTTCTCTCAAAATACTTCCTGCACTCTTCTGATAACCTGTTTGTATATCTTTTTCTTTCCTTTAGTCATTCCACTGAAGGGTGCTGAAATATAGGTCCTTCTGAACAAGTTGCCTTAGAGTTGGTAAAAATAGCCCTTTTAGGATATAAACTCTCCAGGATGAGGGGTAAACAATAATAGGAGGTGGGTATCATGAAAGTAATACTCAATGTGTACAATATGCAGAATAAGCTAAGCTTGACAATCCAGAAGACGTTAAACTCTTTCAAGGCACTCTAACTCTTTTATGGCTATTCACTCCATTATCTTCATAGTCCTTGCAGTCTCCATTTGTAGAATGTTTTATATTTGCAGAATGTTTTGTATTTGCCAACCTGTCCTGCTTCCCTTATGTTACCTACAATTTAAGCAATTTGCAACACTAGATTTCCAGTGGTTCATATGCAGATGCACCAATGCACCAATGACTGCAGGTATTTTATAGATAGATATCTATTAACTTGACAAAGATGATCAACTGACCCTGAAATTGAAGTTCTGGGAGCACAAGATATTCACATTGTGCCAAGGAATCACCCCAGAGATTACTTATTAATAATAAAAAAAGAAAACTTAACTTTACAGCGGAGCAAGTGATAGTGAGCACATACCAATAGTGGGACAGTCTGACATTATAGATCTGATGTTACACAATATGAAGTATTCTTGTCACATGTTACCCTAAATCAAGTCTAGATCTAACTTCCAGTTTACAGGAAATAGAGAGGTGGGAGTAAAAAGCCAAAGACACCATGGAGAAACAAAACTCTAGAAGGTAAGACATATAGGACAACTAGCCTCACCCCTTCAAAAAGTCAATGTTCTCCTCAATGACAAAAAAAGGGGGGGAAGGGGTGGCAATTTTTCTATATTAAGAGATAAAGGGAGAGAACCAAATACAAAGACCCAGCTTGATTATATTCTGTTTCAAGAGAACAGCTTTAAACGCTGTTTTATGGATAACTGGGAAGTTTTAAATATGGTCATTAAATGTCAGTATGACATTATCAATAAATATTCTTTTTTATGTAGAAGAATTTCTTATCTTAGGAGACACCTAAAAGTAATGAGTGAAAAAACACCTTATCTTGGGCCTCCCCTTGGTGGCGCAGCAGTTGAGTGCTGGGTTGCGAGGCTGCCCACAGCCTCTGCAGCGCCGGTTCGATCCCTGGCCACCGGCGAGGGTCCCACAAAAAAAAAAAAAAAAAAAAAAAAAAAAACACAAAAACAACAAAAAACAAACAAACAAAAAAACACCTTATCTCCAATTTAGGATTAAGTGTTTCAGCATAATGTTCGAGAACAAATATGGCAAAATATCATCAATTGCTAATTTTGGTGGAAGGATCCCTCTATTCATAGACCGATTCTCTCAACTTTTCTGTATGTTTGAAATTTTTCACTCTAAAAAGTTGAGGAGGATAGAAATATAGTCAAATTTCCAGATAGTGTCTTTTTATCATAAAACTCATTTTCAAGAAAACATAAAAATTCACACATGTAGGAAAATACTGTAAAAGAATTCTCTAAATAAGCCAAAGTACTTAAGTAAAACACTGGATTTCTGTATATTAAGTACCAAAAACTGCTAATGAGCTTAGGGGATTCTGTGTGTACCTACCGGTTAAAACATTGGGAAGCAGGATCAGTGAAATGTTTGTAAGGGTTCGCTCTAGAAAGAGAACCCATGCAAATCCAGCAAAAATACTGCTTACAGCTAGTACAGGTCATCTTGTTACATCCATCTAATTTCTGGTGGGAAAGATAGAAAAATATGAAAGTCTGAACAACAGAAATGCATCTGCCAAAAAGATTCAGTACAACATTCTCCCAGTCTTCTCCCTTCTCTCATGCAGGATTGAGATCTACAGGTAACACACTGACAACTATGAAGTGCCTATTCTTTTGCATTACAGGTAAAATATAGAAAATATTTAGCAGGTATTCCTACAACTAGCTGCTTAGCAAAATTTCTTCTGATAAAATGGTAGATAAACACCAAACATGTATATTGTGAGTGGAACATGTAGTGAAATAATTATTAAAATGTTTGGAGGGCCTCCCCTGGTGGCGCAGGTGGTTGAGCGTCCCGCTGTGAAGCTGTCTGCAGCCTCTGCAGCGCAAGTTTGATCCCAGCTGGCTGGCAAGGGTCCCACATGGCACGGCAGACCTCTCCTGTTGCGCTTGCTGCTCCTTTCAGCAGTATTTTCTCGGTCTGCCTGTTCTGTTCCCCACTGTCTCTGGTGAATCCTCTCTCCCTCCCGTGCATCTGGTCTGTACCCCGGTTCTTGTATAAATAAATAAATAAACCTTAAAAAAAATAAAAATAAAATGTTTGGAATCAGTGTGGCTTTAAACTTTCTATATAAATATAAGTGAACATTCCATTCCTCACAGGGCTGAGTCACGGCAGAAGTTGTTAAATAGAATGCTGGTTCCTTAATGTAGTAACTGGGGAATTGCTACCAGGTTCAGTTCAGATGAAATGGATTGGACCAGTAGGATCCAATGCAAAGATATATTTCTATTTTGAAACATATTAAGACTTTGTCAAGAAGCTATAGATATATGTGTCTATTTTGGTTTTTTTTAAAGATTTATTTATGCATACAAGAATTGGGGTACAGGCCAGAGGTGTGGGAGTGAGAGGATTCACCAGAGAAAGTGGGGAACAGAACATATGGACTGACTGAGATACAATGCTGAGGGGAGCAGTGGGCAAGTCAGGAGAGGTCTGCTGCACCATGTGGGTAGCTCCCTGGATGGGGACTGAATTCATGCTGCAGTGGCTGAGGATAGCTTCATAGGTTGCATCTTAACCCTTTGTGTCACCAAGGAGGCCCGTATCTGTCTATTTTGGCTCAAACATTTGTCAGATCGGGAAAATGTCTGTTTGTATAATTTTTAAATAAGTGTGTTAAATTTCAGGATAAATAGTTCTGAGAAGTCAGGCAGGATCTTTTTCGTTTCTTTTCTTTTCTTTTTGTTTGCTTATTTTAGCCACACAGATGAGTTAAGAGTCCACTGTAGTGCCAGTACATTATCCTCATAACCAACTCTATTTTGAGGTGGATATAAAGTAATAACAATTATCAGTGTATGAAAACATGCTGAAAAGTCTACATACATTTAAGGTCAATAATAGTAGTGAATTTGCATCTTCCAAATAAGATGGTTTAATATATACCAAAATGTGTTTCCTTAACTAGTCATAAAATTCAAAGGCTTACTGAGACAATCATAACTAGCTTGTAAGTCTATTTGCCTGTAAGTCTTACCCAAACTTTACCTCTATGTGAGTCCCACAACAAGGGCAGCTCTTTGAGTTCTTTTCCAGCCACTCCTTACTTTCCATCTCTTCCAGTGCCTTCTGAATCACCCTCTTACCATACCTCTTTTCCAAGAATCTTTTATTGGCCTCATCTGCTTGCAGGTACTCATTTCGTAAGTCTATTAATTTCTCTAGAAAATGAAATGGAAAATTTTTATACAAGTTTGCAACAATCACTAAAAGCCATTTAAAAATGCCATAACCTTTGACTATTCAATGATGCTATTCCTAGGGCCTTATCATAAGGAAATAATAAAGTCATACACATAGAGATGCTTATAACAATGGCAAGCAAATTAAATGTACAAGGGACTAATTATGTGCAAGAGTTATTTGATGACATAATATTCGGTTATTAAAAACTTATAATTAGGATGACTACAACCCAAATAAAATATTCATTATAAGAAAAAGTGTACTTATGTTATAATTAGGCAAAAATTACACACAAAGGGCCTCCCTGATAGTTCAGGGGTTAAAGTCTCAGTGCTATCAAGCCATTGCCAGCCACTGCCTTGATCCCCAGCCAGGGAGCTAACCTACATGGCGCAGGAGACCTCTCCTGTCTCGCCCACTGCCCCCCTCACCAGTGTATTTCAGTAGATCTGCCTGTCCTCCTCCCCACTCTGTCTCTGGTGAATCCTCTCACCCTGCCGTACCCAGTTCTTGTAGGCATAAATAAATAAAAACGAATCTTAAAAAAAAAAAAAAATTACACACACGAGTGACAAGGATGGAAAGAAATCCATCAACTAGAAAAGTTGAATTTGCTAGGGCCTCCCCGGTGGCGCAGCGGTTGAGCACTGGGTTGAGAAGCTGCCCGCGGCCTCTGTGGTGCGGGTTCGATCCCCGGCTGCTCCCCGGCCACCTGAGGAGGGTCCCGCATGGCGCGCAGACCTCTCCTGCCGCCCGCTGCTCCCCTCAGCAATGTACTTCGGTTCTTCTGCCTGCTCTGCTCCCTGCTCTGGCTCTGGTGAATTCTCTCACCCTCCCGCGCTTCTGACTGTGCCCAGTGCATGTATAAATAAAACAAACAAACAAATAAATAAAAATACATGCCTCTTAAAATAAATAAATAAATAAATGTTTAAAAAAAAAAGTTGAATTTGCTAAAGGTAGTGAAATAATAGTTTATCATTTTCCTTTGACTTTGATGTACTAATGTTGGCATTTTTGTGTTACTAGTAGTACACAGTTAAAAAATGACTTATCTAAAAGACACAAAAGTTGAAACAGCCACAGATTTTCTACTAAGTCAGCATCATTCACCATTTGATAATGAACAATATCATTATCAAACAGAAGCACCTTTAAAGGCAAAGACTGTTTAATTCTGTATTTTTTAAAAAATAAGTGAATAAAATTTTATTTATAAGTGAATAAAATTTTCCACTCACAGGCACTGAAAAGTTCCTCCTGTGACCTTTTGCCCCTTGACACTCTTCAACCTGGCTATTGCACTATTAGTTAACACATGGAATAGACAGCCATTCCCAAATGCTTTGTTTGCAGACAAAAGGCTTTTGATCACAATTCTATTACTTAAAATTTTCAATACAATTAAAGACTTATTTCAACAGTGTTTTATTATTCTTGCTGTTTTATTAGTTTACTTTCTCGTATTAGATAGAGATCTGTCTTCTTTATACACTGGACATCTGGCACACAATCCTATCTACATTCTTTTTTTTTTTTTAAAGATTTATTTATTTATTTATGCAAGCACTGGGCACAGTCAGAAGCGTGGGAGGGTGAGAGAATTCATCAGAGCCAGAGGGGAGCAGCGGGCAACAGGAGAGGTCTGCCCGTGGCCGGGCATCAAACCACCGCTGTAGAGGCTGTGGGCAGCTTCGCAACCCAGTGCTCAACCGCTGCGCCACCAGGGAGGCATTCTTTCCTTCGCATGTGAATCCTTTCTCTGTGCTGTGCCTTCCCATGGCTCCATCAGCTCTACTTAGATGTAGCAGATATGTGTCTTTTTAGTCTGTCATTTTTATCCCTTTAGTAACTCATTTTTGTGTTTCTAGACATCTTAAGGACAAAGACTATTGCTCTTATGTTCTCAAAATGATAACAGCATTTCATGTATCTTCCATGGCAACATCTAGTACTTATTAATACACAGAAATAGATGTATATACAAAGAGAGATGCCCAAATTTGCTAAGTCCCCAAGCCTATCTTCAATTTCGTCCACAAATGCTGTGAAATACCTGAAATGTACTGCAGCCTCTCAATGGTAAGATTACAAAAGTCTACAGCGGGGTTTATATTACACTCCAGTGAGTTCTCCATCCCATCTGCTCAAACTCACTATAAGATTATATTTTAGGCAACTACAAGGATATACTCATTCTCCACTCAGGGGAGAAAAATAACACTTTGCTAACACTAGCAATTTGTAACTGTGTAACAAAAATATTTGTATTTAAAAATATCATTTTGCATTTTATATGTATTAGCCCATTGTTCTCAAACTACCTATGAAGAAAGTCCACACCCCCACCCCCACCCCCGCCAAGGGACAATATTTTACAAAACAAAATCAAATTAATTATTAGAAAAATGGATGAAAACTAAAAATACAGGACTTAGATTTGACTTATTGGATTTGACTAACAAAATCACTCTATGAAATAACTAATAGTTTCTAACCCTAACTCTCAATTCTATATTTATCTTGCCACAGACAAATATAACTCTGAGTAGCACAAGAGTTTACTTCATCCTTACAATGACCTAGGAAGAGCTACTACCATCATTCTTATTAGTCTATGAAAAACTAAGTCACCAAGCCCAATTCAATTGAGTCTGATTTCTTAATCCTATCTACATCAGAAATGACAAACAGGTGACTTTCTGGGGCCTCCCTGGTGGTGTAGGGGTTAAATCTCAGCACTGTCATGCTATCACCGCAGCTGCACTGTGCTGCAGTCTGAGTTCAATCCCCCACTAGAGAGCAAACCCACATATGGTGCAGCAGACCTCCCCTATCTTGCCTGCTGCTCCTCTTAGCAGTGTACTTCAGATCTGCCTGTTCTGCTCCTCACTCTGTCTGGTGACTCCTTCCCACCCCCTGAACTTTTTTTTTTTTTAAAGATTTGTACAAGAACCGGGATATAGGCCAATGCACAGGAGGGTGAGAAGATTCACCAGAGACAGAGTGGGGAACAGAACAGGCAGACCGACGAAATACACTGCTGAGAGGAGCAGCGGGCGAGACAGGAGAGGTCTGCTGTGCCATGTGGGACCCTCGCCGGCCAGCCAGCCGGGATTGAACTGGCACTGCATAGGCTGCAGACAGCTTCACAGCGCTGCACTCTACCACCCGTGCCACCAGGGGATGCCCTCACCCCCTGCACTTTTGGCCTACATCCCAGTTTTTCTGTGCATAAATGAATAAATAAATCTTTTTAAAAAAGTGTGGCTTTCTAAAATGTTCGGGAAGATTCTGAGCCTTCTCTTGGGCTCACTTGATGACTGACAGGACATCTGTGCCATGGAAACAAGAGTGGCAGCTTAGATGCTCTGCACTTGTCAACCAGATCACTATTATTCCTTGTTCATGGACAAATACTGTCTTGCCAGCCTGTTCCTGAAATGTTCCCCGATACCTGCATGGCTTCTTTCCTTTGTTTAAGTTTTACTCTAACTAGTTTTCCAGTCAGGCTCCCTCTGGTTTCCCTAAGTGAAATCCCAATACCCTTTCCCTCAGAACATTTCATATCTTATACCTGCTTTAATTTTCTCCTTTAGTACTTACTACCATCTAATATTCTTATTTTCTTTGCCTATCTCCTTCGCCCCCCTGCCTCAGAATACAAGTTCCATGAGGAAAATGCATCACTGCTATATCCCACAGTCCAGGTCAGTAACTGATATAAAAATATCTGTTGAAGTTTCCATTCACTTCACTTCCAAATTGAAGTAATCAGGCTTTTTCATCTTTGAGGAGGAGGTGTAGGAGTAAGATATAGGGGAACTGAGTTCACAGTTACAACTTACCTGCAGTCACCTTACATGGAGAGACCCCATGGTAGGTCAATCTGCACAAGGTACAGAAGGCAAAATTGCAGCTGGAACAGATGCCCATGGTACAACCAGGTTCCTGCATCACAGGCAACTGGCAAAATGGGCGGGGGCAGTACACCACATCTGCCATCAGGTCCAAGGTAGACTGGAGAAGAAGGCGGTCATAACGGGCAAATAAGTCTGCCTCCACTAGCTCTTTGACCTGAACAGAAATATAAAACACAGAGGTCTGACAATTCTCCAACAAATTCTGATCCTGAGATCGTTAAGTATGCTGGTGCAAACCAGATGCTCATAAAGTAACTCTATCTCACGTCAAAATCAAGTATGGCAAGTCTGCATCTTGACTAAGATCTGTGGTTACATGGGTCTATGAATTCGTCAAAACTAAGCAAACGGTATACTTTAGATGTTTATGCTTTAATAAAGTTGATTTGTTTTTTAATCTGAGTACATGGACCTATGTCAAAGTCTACAAATGATTCAATCCCAAGGCTATCCCCTTCAGATCCTAGCCATATACAGACAGGCTAGTGATTACTCAAGTTGATGGAATCCTAGCAGATATATGAAGTAAATGACCAGAATTACTTTATCATTCACCCCTGCATAGAACCACCCATTCAAAAGCCAATAAAAGGAAGCATTTACTTAACCACCTGCTTAGCTAGCAAAGAAAGACCATGGCATTCTTGATAAGAGTAAAATAACTTGCGGGGTTGGCTCCAAAGTCTAGACTGTGCCAATGAGTCCTATCAAGGAACTTTCTGAGATGATGGTTCCCTCTCTGAAAGAGACTTAGGAGTCCGTTTTCAGCAGAGTAGAATTACCTGACCAGGGGTGGCCACTGAAGGGCACTTGGGTTCTGGGCAATTGAGGCATTGAACTTGGCCATCTTTGATCTGGATTTCAAAGTAGTCCTTCAGACAAGCTTTGCAGTATGCATGCCTACACTCCAAGAAGTTCATGCATTCACTACCCAGCTTCTCACAGAAACAGATATTGCACGTGAACACTTTACTATTAAAGCATTTTATCTGCTGAGCTTGATCAAAGTCTAAGATTTCCTGGATCAGACTTGACAATGATTCCACATCCTGCACAGCTCTCTCATCTACAATTTCTTCTTGGTCTATGTCAGATCCAGCAGCTCCTCCAAAATCTAGCTCTGTATTGGACGAAGTTTGTGTGGTCCTTCTCTGCACTTTTGTCTGAGAACTCATCTTGAGCTCAAAAGGAGAGGCAATATTCAAGTATGCCAGGGTCTCTTCCTTAAGAAACTGCATCCAGGCAAACAGGACCACGCTGCCACGATGTTCTTCCCACAGGTTGTCTAAGTGCTTGCAGAGAGCAGAGAGCTAGAAGAAAACACATTAAGGATGCTGATGAGTTTGGAAAGATAATGTTGCAGTCAACTCCTGATATCCCTTGAAATCTTTATAACTTATAACTTAGGCCCTTATACTGTCCAACGTGATTTTTTCACTGCTGTGACATAGTGTGCTGCAAAACAGCACCAATGCTCTTTATCATAGCACTTGTTAACATAAGTCACACAGAATACAAAGTCAGAAGTTAAAAGAAGTATGAAAATGAGAGAAAGGGCAAAATGCCAGAAGATATACAACCAGGTTTACATGAACTGAAAAGGAAGACTTTGTTCTGTTCTTTATTTGCTCCTTGTTTTAGTATTACCTATTTCATATAAGAGATCTAGTTCTAAAATTAAATATTTATATTTCTTTGGAGTGCCAGCCTTATAGATACCCTGTAATAATGCTGAGAGAAAAAGCAGTTTAAAAATACCATCAAAATTTTAAAACAAACTCTTTCAATCCTATCAAAAAATCAGTTCATGTGAAAGAATCACTAACGAGTCCTCACTATTCAAATTGCCAAGCAGTTTTTAATTAAGCAGTCTGGGCTTGCACCAGATACTGGTTTAATGGAGGGAAGCAGACTCTTATTGAACCTGGACATGATAACAATTGCTTAACATGGTTTGGCTGCCAGAGGAAAGTTCACACTCTCAAAGCTAAGCAACCAAGTTTAAACTATTTTGACTTTTCCTCTTTAAAAGTGATCTGTTCAAGAATGGTGGTTACCATAGAGAAAGGAAAGGGAGGGAAGGGGTAGAGGGGACCAACTGGTTGGAGATGGATGATGACTGGACATTTGGTGGTGCGTGTGGTGTGATATATAGTTGCTGAGGTGAGAAATAATAGTGTTGTTAACTAATGTTATATCAATAAATCACACATCTACATTCTTAGAGGGGTTTGTTCAATTTGAAGGACAAATATGAGGATTTTCCATTAGAAATGTAAAATTCATGTAAGTAGAGCTTAGGAATAAGCAACTTTTTTTTTTTATAAGAGGCATGTATTATTTATTTGTTTGTTTGTTTGTTTGTTTGTTTATACAAGCACTGGGTACAGTCAGAAGCGCGGGAGGGTGAGAGAATTCACCAGAGCCAGAGCGGGGAGCAGAGCAAGCAAAAGGACCGAAGTACACTGCTGAGGGGAGCAGCGGGCAGCAGGAGAGGTCTGCGCGCCTTGTGGGACCCTCCTCCGGTGGCCAGGGAGCAGCCGGATCGCAGCGGGCAGCTTCGCAACCCAGCGCTCAACCGCTGCGCCACCGGGGAGGCCCAAGCAGCTTTTTTTTTTTAAAGGTAAACCTCAAGGGGGAAAAAAACCTTTCTAATGCAAACAAATTTTATAAATTTAAATAACATATGAAAAGGGATCACTTTTCTATTCCTTGTGTGTGTACAGTACTATTCACTAAGCCCCACACAGACATGAACTTTACACACTTATTGAGCAGTTCAAGATTGGACAATGAAGGCTTTCCCCATATTCATGCTTATATCAACCATGACTTTCAGAAACCTGCTGCAATGTGTAAAATGAAATAAACATTAAAGGGGAAGCTCTGAGTGCTGTTTGAGCCACTAAGTCCAATGAAGAAATCATTCTTCTCCATCCTCTTTTCTTCTCCAGTCTCTTCTCAAAAGAGGTGGCTGGGATAGACATAAATCTAAGGGAGGAGGATATGCTTAGAAGAAAAGAACAAAAGACTGCGTATGTACTGGGAAGTAGAAAATACTACAAAATTAAACTACAAAATCCCTTCTTTCTACCAATTCCAATTCAGTGAAACACAGGTCCAGGTTTCAGCTTCACTATCAACAAGTGAAATGCATAATGCTGAGGAATCAAGGCCCAGCAATGAACAAGAATAGAACCAGAAGGAACAAAAGACAAATTAAAATGTCAATTATATGCACAAAAATTTATTTGATAAGAGAATTGTACTATAATTTTAGAAGTGTAACATAAAATAATGAACAACTCCTCTGCTCAAACCCTCAAAAGCCAGGATGAAGTTAATGCTATTTGGCTATATAATCTGAAATTGCAACCATACTCCCAGTTAGCCTGTCCTTATTTTGTGCATGTATGAGTGTGTGCGTGTAGAGTCGAGTTCTCTAGAATTATAAGTATCTAAATAATTCAGTCAACTACCAATGACCTATATGTCAAAGTCGTGATATCAATTTTTGAGCAAATAATCTATTGTCTTGCATGTACTGCCTATTGCACAGATATTAAAATCTGAGGCAATATTCCTTTTAATTCTACATCATTGTTCCTTTTTAAAGTTTAATTGTTTTTAAGTTCAATTTTATAACACTCTCATCTAAAAGATTAGATGTGATCTTTTAGTGGGAGGGGGTATGAAAATTACACAATCACAAAGGGAAAACTGACAAGCCATTCCTTGAGGTCAAGTAACTGACAGCTTTTGTCTTAATATACATCAGACTATCAATCTTCATCATGACATCTAGAAAAGTAGCTGCTATCGATCCATTATCTACCACAGAATGCTTTGTATTAGCTCCAAGTCATATTTATGTCTCAATCAAGAAGTTGAGGTTTTTACTAGAAAAGAATATATATCACAGAGGAAATGAAGGCTTGTAATATAAGATATCAAGCCTTAATGAGATACCCACAGGAATCATATACGTTTCTATGTGTGCATTTACATCTACGCAAGACTAGCCAAGAATTATGTTATTAACATACAATGTCTAAAAATGAAATTACCTATGTTTACTGAAGAATTTTATTACAACTACATTAGCTGAATTTTTGTCCTCCTAAATGAAATCTTTCATTTAAGGGATGGATAGAAAACTAAGGGGGAAAAAAAGGAATACCAGCACTAGGGAAAGTAATGAGGGCCTTATTGTCTCCATTACAATACAGATTAAATGGGAAAATAGTAAGACAACAGAAACAACATACTTAATTAAAAAAATTACTCCTGTTACAATCCATAATGATTAACTGTTTTAATCATTGCCATTCCTTTCTAAAATACCAGACATTTTCAATTCATTAACATTAGGAATCATGATGGAAGGGGAAAAAATTACAAAATCAAAGCCATTTGTTCTTCATGCACTGAATTTAAGATCATCAAGGTAGTCTTCAATTAAAGATGATTTTTTTAAGTTTCTAAAAACGGATAGGAGAAATTAAGTTTCGGGTCTAACCTGAGTTGGTGACAGCCATTTGCCACTAAGTGTGAATGAAGGTGGGGAGGAGGATGGATAATCTGGTGGCAGTTCAAAGTTCAGCACAAGTGGAGGCAGAAAGCAAATGGTGTATTCAAAGCCACTATTCTGGAGACACTCATTTGAATTGCCTGAACCAAAAACAAAGATTAGAAAGGATCAGTTGGTCAATACTTGAGTGTCTATACTGTTGAGCAGTGCTCAACAAAGATTTAATGCTTTAGTTGAGGGTATAAAAACCCTCCCCCAAAGCACTTTCTCTTTCCTAATTTTAACTTCATATAGTGGCCACCTTAAAAAATATCTAAGTCCCTGAAAAATCTACAAAGCACCATGAAATTTATAATGAAGATACACAACTTATTCTTGTATACACCTTTGAGTACAATTCCTATCACTAACAAGCAAGTAACACACAATGTTTCATTTCTTGTTTTACAGTAGATGATTAAAGACACAATTTAGAGAAAAGGATGTTTATTTCTATCAAAGAGCCATGACCTACTTAGACCAGTATGTGCCAACTACCCATGAATCATAGCTGGGAGAACTTGTGCCAACACAATGATCTTAGGCTTGAGGCCAAAAAGCAGCACAAAACACTCTCACAATCAAAATTTCATTTTAAATGATCACATGTACTTTACAGTAGATCACAATGCCTTTATAGTAGAAAAATTTTGAGAAAGTATGCATCAAAATCATCTGTGACTATATGAAAAGAAGCAGTTTCACAGAGTAACAACACGTGTCATGTTGTCATGGTAGTTGAAAAGATTTTGGAAACCAAATAATATTAACAACCACCATGGTACTTTAAAACTTTCCAAGTGTTTTCACATACTTTGTTTCATTTTTTTCCTTCTATCATCCCTACTTGATAACCAATGACTCATGGTTGATAAACTACCCACTACTAGTCAGAAGAAAATTAGGATGCGTGAAATATGTTGGATAATATCCAATTCAGAGGTCAAAAGATAGAATTGAATTGGAAACTGTTTGCCCCTCCCATTCCAATTTTCAATTAAAACAGAAATATACATTCAATCCATAATACCATCATCTATTCTGATGCTTATAAACACAATGATAAATAATTTAGGGTAGAAATTGTGAATAATCTTTATTTTAAAAAGCCTATTTAAGAGAATATTAACTTTAAAAGAGAGAGAGAGAGAGAGAGAGAGAGAGAATATTAACTAACCGCTCACAAATATCTTAAAATTTTGTGGCAAGTCCAAGTAGATCCTGGTTTCTCCACCTTGGACAGACTCTGCTTTTCTAAATTCATCTCCATCATAAATACTCGCCAGAGCCAGCAATTCATCCTCCTGAGCTTCTCGGTCTTCAGACGACATTTAATTTTCTGAGGAGCTAAAGACAACCATTCAAGTGAGTTCAGACTAGAACAGGCACAGAGTTTGGGAAAGTATAGTGATACCGAAAAAAAGAAAAACACCTCAAGAGATTAATCAGTATTTTCACTTTTCTGCTAAACAAGAAATGACAAGCATATCCAGTATTCTAGTAGCTTTGCAGAAGTAACTTTTAAAAAGGATGATTATAGAGCTAACTTTATCAGTTACGTATGACTAAGTTAGGAGAAGAAAGGCCAACAAAAATTAAAGAACATATCATGAATTACTTTGACTTGTGTGCTAAACCTAGCAAAATGCCTTATTCACAAAGAGTCAAGGTATATTTGATATACTTCTTAAAAACAAATGAATTTTAAAAATCCACAGGAATTTCCAGGGCAGGTTTTCTCAATCTCAGTACTGATATTTCAGAGCAAATAATTCTTTGATGTGGGAAGGTGTCTTCTGAATTACAGGAAGTATAACAACATTCCTGGCTTGAGCCTACTACATGTCATAAGTGTCACTTTCCCTCCAGAATTTTGACAATTAAAAATATCTTCAGACTGGCCAAATTTCCTGGGATCAGGGATGGGAGGGGAAAATTGCTTTCAGTTGAGAACACCCTATTCTAGATAATGTTACAGGAATAGATACCACATAAGAGTTAGATTAACTGAGGAAGCAGTAAAATAGCATTAAACTTTTGTAACACCAACTTTTGACGAATCAATTTTTTTTAAAGATTTATTTATACAAGCACTGGGTACAGTCAGAAGCGCAGGAGGGTGAGAGGGTTCACTAGAGCCAGAGTGGGGAACAGAACAGGCAGTCCTGACGAAATACACTGCTGAGGGAAGTAGCGGGCGGCAGGAGAGGTCTGCGCACCATGTGGGACCCTCGCCATCGGCCGGAGATCAAACCCACGCTGCAGTGCCTGTAGGCAGCTTCGCAGCCCAACACTCAACTGCTGTGTCACCAGGGGAGGCCCTGACAAATCATTTTTAAGATTTACCATAATTGGGCTTCCCTGGTGACACAGGGATTAAAGTCTCAGCACTATCAAACTATAGCCAGCTGCTGCAGCATGAGTTTGATCCCTGCCCAGGAGTGGAGCAGCAGACCTTTACTGTCTCACCCACTGCTCCCCTTAGCAGTGTATTTCAGTAGATCTGCCTGTTCTGCTCCCCACTGTCTCTGGTGAATCCTGTCACCCTCCTGCACCTCTGACCTACACCCCAGTTCTTGTATGCATAAATGAAAAAAAATAAATCTTAAAAAAAAGATTTACCATTATCTTAGGTAATACTAAGGATGAAAATATGCTAAAATTAACGTATGCAACAATGCTTTTCACAGTGACTAAGAGATGCATCACAATTTCAGATAGTGGAAATATGAAAAAAATTATAATCTATGAAAATTACTTCAGTAAAACATAAAAATTACTCCATCAATGAAAATCTTGCACTGTAATTGCACTTGCAAACATGCTCCTTTCAACTAAAATATTAATTCAATAGTATACAACTGAAAAGCTAGGACAGTTTATCACATCATAAAAGGAAACACTACAAAATTTAGACAAATCTACTTAAAAGGATTCCATTTTCAAAAAAATAAGTTTCTAGATGATAATGGTTCTACTTAAACTGCATCCCTAAAACACAATAACATGTTCTACTTGAGGTGAATTAATACCTGTTAATAACAACCAGAAGAAAGTGATACTTGATATTAACAATGCAGTCTGTACTTCAGTTGAGAGTTTAGAATTCATGCAAATCCCATTTATTCTCTAGGCGGTGGAGATGTGACTGCAGAAGTTGGATAAGAGGCCAAGATATGGAACTCATACTAGATATACTATAGAAATCCTGCCATCTGCAGAAAAAAAAAAACAAAAGATGGTGTTAGGACCCTCTTCCAATTTAAATTCTGAATTTCCACTATTGTAATGGAGGTAAAAGACTTCCTAACACAGAGTAAATCCTAATCTACAGCTGTATATTACTCTCCTGGGACAGTTGAATTGAGCCACACAGGTAAAGGAACATTTAGTGTTCCCAGCAATGAGGCAGACCTTATCTGACTGTCTTCAGCCCTGGGAGGAGCTGAGGAGAACCACTACGTCATTGGAGGAGACAACCTACCACACCCCATAATAAACACTTTCTTGGGTTTGTTTTCATTTTTCCTTTCCTCTTCTACTCCTTCCTTTCTTATGCCCCTCAAGTTTTTCCTCTTGCCTGCTAATGAATTAATCCTGTCAGTGATGCTCAATGTCAGGTTAATTTAAGGATAACAGGATATTTAAAACATAACAAAAAAAGAACATGCACACACAAACTTTTTAGGCCCATTCTAATTGCTTTACATCCAGTATTCTTAACTGGATGATGGGGGAAGAGAAAGGTGACCCATAGGTGGGTATGGAGAGTTCTATGAACACCCTAAATCTATAAGCAAAAATGTTACATGAAACTATCATTTTAAAACCAGATTCTCAGGGCCTCCCCTGGTGGCGCAGGCGGTTGAGCGCAGCGCTGTGAAGCTGAACACAGCCTCTACAGTGCTGGTTCGATCCCAGCTGGTTGGCGAGACTCTCACATGGCGCAGCAGATCTCTCCTGTCTTGCCCGGTCTCGTCCACTGCTCCCCTCAACAGTGTATTTCAGTCCGTCTGCCTGTTCTGTTCCCCGCTCTGTCTCTGGCGAATCCTCTCACCCTCCCGTGCATCTGGCCTATACCCAGTTCTTGTATGCATGAATAAATAAATCTTTAAAAAATAAAAAAAAAATAAAACCAGATTCTCAGATATATAACCCCCAAATAAGCTAAAATTGAAATTCTCAATCAATTTAGATTTTAGTGAGCATCTACTTTTTACTAAGTTTAATCTCTTTCCATTACTTTAATCTTGAACAATTTTATCAGTAGTGAAAGGTGATAACGTAATTACATTTTGGTGTTATTACTTCCGGTTTAAACAGTTAGTTATGGGATAAGAGATGAATTCACATAATAGTTTTCTGGTTTTGATTACTGTTCTCTATCTTGTCTGCACATTGAAATCTGCCAAGGATGTCTCCTGTTTCTCTCACTGCTCCCCTTAGCAGTAGATTTCAGTAGATATGTCTGTTCTGCTCCGCATTCTGTCTCTGGTGAATCCTCTTACCTCCCCACCTCTAGCCTACACGCCAGTTCTTCTACACAAAAATAAAAATAAATAAAACCTTTAAAATAAATAAAATCTGTTGAGGAGCTGCCTTTAAAATTCCAATGCCCAAATGATATTCCAGAACAATTAAATCAGGAATAAGTATCTTTCCAGCTCTCCAAGTTATTCTAATTGCAGCCAGGATTGAGAACCTACTCCAAGCAGTGTTTCCCATCAACAATCTACATGTTCTAGTCTCAGCTGATGTTCAATGACCTCTATTTCCTTCTGATTCTACCCACTCAGCCCTCAACACTTACCCCTAAAGTTCCTATCCCATGTAGAGTTTTCCAAATTGACATGTCTTTAAAAACCCAGCAAAATTTACTATAGCTTTCCTATTATATGTTACATCCACCTTGCACTACAGTAGTTTATGAACTTGCACTTCCCCTCCAACCAGACTGCATTAATTTTTTAAAGTGAGGATCAAGTGTTTTGCATCTCTGTATTGTAGTGCCATGCTTTAGACACCGGAAAAATGAGAACTGAATTGGGGTAAGATGCAGTGTGCTAAAGAGGGGACCAGAAGCATAAGGTTCAGTAATCACTAGAAGCGGGAGGCTGGGCTGGTGGTCACAATAACTTCAAGAACATTAACATTTAGTAAGTTCTCACCGTGTCAGGCAATGTGCTAAACCTTTAAAAAAAAAAAAAAAGTTATTCATGCATACAAGAACTGGGGTACAGGCCAGAGTTGCGGGGGGTGAGAGGATTCACCGGAGACAGAGTGGGGAAAAGAACAGGCAGACTGACTGAAATACACTGCTGAGGGGAGCAGTGGGCGAGACAGGAGAGGTCTGCCGCGCCAAGTGGGATTCTCGCAGGGATCAAACGCGCTGCAGAGGCTGCGGACAGCTTCATAGAGCTGCGCTCAACCTCCTGTGCCACCAGGGAGGCCCTGTGCTAAACCTTTTAAACGCATTAACTCCAGTTGCATTCCCACAATCCCATGAAACAAGTCCTTTTACTATTTCCATTACACAGACAAGAAAAATGACAGTATAGGTCCTGTTTTGGCCCACGATAATACAGCTAATCTGAGTTCAGACCACCCTATTTCTACATCTGTAACACGAGAACGATAGCAAACCCTGGCGCCATGAGACGAGATAATTCAAATTTAATATTAATTCTGGCAAACCGGAAACCGCTACACCAGTAGGGGAGGCCCTCCTCCGCCGGGGATCCCTCGGGCCGGGGAAAATCCTACTCATTCTTCCAGTCCCCGCCGTGCGGACTCGCGCCCTGGACTCAGTCCAGGTTCTGAAGTCGGCCCTGGCGCAGGGGTCAGAAAACCCGCGCCGTAGTCTCCACCGCCCGCCACACGGCGTGCGGCTCCCCCGCAACCCGGGCAGGCTAGGCCTCGCTACAGCCCCGGCGCAGGGACGCAGAGGGCGCTGTGCGCACCAGGGAGGTGTGGGCCCGCCCAGGGCGTCCCGAAGGAGCAGGCCCCGTACCTTCCCCTTCCTCCTCCGTGCGCCCTGGGGGTGCTTAGCCGGGCCGGGTTAGGGGCGCCCCGTCCCGAGTCCGGGGGGCTAAGGCCCACTGAGCAGTCCCGGCCCGGCCGCCCTTCTCTGCCTCGCGCACCCGGAGCGCAGTCCCCACCGTACCTTCCGGCCGCCCCGCCTGACCGGGTCCCAAAGTTCCGCCCTCAGCATTTGCCCCGGGTCCCCTCACCGTCATTCGCCGGCCCAGCCAGGAGACGCCCGGCTCTACCTGCGTACCGCCTCTTCCGTCCTCCCGGCAGTCAGCTGAGCCCAGCAGATCCGACCGGGGCAGCCCGGGTTGGGGTTGAGGTGGGCTCTGCGCAGCCGCCGTGACCGCCCCGGCTCCGCGGCCGCCCCCTGCAGGCCAAAGGTGGAGATGCAGGCGCACCCACCGTCACCCACACCACTGCCTTACAAAATTAAGCACGCCTCTGGAAAAATTGGTATGAGTGCAGATTCTGTAAAGGGACTCCTTTCAGATGTTCTGGAATGGGGACCGGGAATTAGAATGGTTACCAATTCTTAGAGGATTTGGTGAGGAAAGGGTCTACCTGGGCAGTCAGTCCCATACCAATCCCTCTTCCAAACAGACCAAATAATCCCCCTCTCCCTTCAAAGAAGGGAGAAACCTTCAAAGAAATACTGCCCATCTTTCTGGCACCTCCACTCTGAATGCATTCTCTCATTGCTTATGTTATAACACGACAAACTACCACATATAATAAGCAGTTAGGATGCTTCAAGCACTGTGCTAAGTGCAGTTTCTCTTTACCTTCCACACTCACTATGACCTTATGGTTGAGGTCTATCCCCATTTTACAATGAGTAAATTGAAACTTAGTGAAGATCAAGAACTTACCAAAGAGCTTATTAAGAGGCTAAGTGGGAATTAAAATTATATGCTCACTACCTCCCATGTACAAAAATTAACTCAAAATGTATCAGAGGCCTAAATGTAAGAGCTAAAGATATAAAACTCTTAGAAAAAAAATGTAGTAGTAAATTTTTATAAAGGTAAATTAGGAGTTTTTTAGATTTTACAAGCAACAAAAGTGGATTCCTCAAAATTAAAAATGTGCTTCAAAGGGCACTGTCAAAAAAGTGAAAGACAACCTTCAGTATAGAAGAAAATATTCACAAATCATATATCTGATAAAGATCTAACATCCAGGGCCTCCCTGGTGGTGCAGCGGTTGAGCGCTGGGTTGAGAAGCTGCCCACAGCCTCTGCAGCGCCGGTTCGATCCCCGGCCACCGGGTGAGGGTCCCACATGGCACACAGACCTCTCCTGCTCCCCTCAGCAGTGTACTTCGTCAGTCTGCCTGTTCTGCTCTCCGCTCTGGCTCTGGTGAATTCTCTCACCCTCCTGCGCTTCTGACTGTACCCCAGTGCTTGTGTAAATAAATAAATAAATAAATAGATCTTTAAAAAAAAAAGTCAAAATGCCTTATTTAAAAAAAAAAAAAATCTAACATCCATAATAACTAAAGCCCTCCTGCAACTCAACAACAAGAAGACAAATGACCCAATTTTTTAATGGGCAAAGGATCTAAGTAGCCATTTCTCCAAAGAAGATATGAAAATGGTCATGAGTACATGAAAAGATGCTCAATATCATTAATGCTCAGGGAAATGCAAATCAAAACCACTACTTCATGCTCACTAGGATGGATGGTTATAATAAAAAGGCAGATAACAAAAAGCGTTGGTTAGGATGAGGGGAAGTTGGAACCTGCATACACTGCTGGTAGGAATGTAAACTAGTGTAACTGCTTTGGAAAAGAGTTTGACAGATCCTCAAAAAGTTCAACAGATTTACAATAAGACCCAGTAATTCTACTTCTTGGTGTGGCCTCCAAAGTACTGAAACAGGTTCTCACAAAAACTAATATACAGATGTAAACTTGGATATATTTATTTATATATAGTGTATTTATATATAGTGTATATATAGTGTATATTTATTTATACATAGATGTACATTAGAGCAGTAGTATTCCCAATAGCCAAAAGGTGGAAACAACTCAAATGTCTATCGATGGATGGATAAATAAATAAAATGTGGAATATCCACACAATGGAATATTATTCAGCTATGGAAAGGAATGAAGTACTGATTGATGCACAGCTTAAAAATGAATGAACCTTAAAAATATCGTGCTAAATGAAAGAAGTCAGAAATAAAACACTACATACTGCATTATTCCATTTATATGAAATGTCTAGAATGGGCAAATTCATAGGGAGAGAAAGAAGATTAGTCATTGTCAGAGGCTAAGGCAGGAGGGGAAGGAAAGCGACTGTTAATGGATATGGGATTTCCCTTGGGAGATGAAAATGTAGAATTAGCTAGCGGTGATGGTTGCATAACTTTGTGAATATAATAGAAAGCTGGACTGTACAATTTTGAAAGGTTAATTTTATCATGCGAATTATATACCAATAAAAAAATAGGTACAAAGTACTAGTTTCAGCACTTACGTGGGATGTTGAAGTGTTGGTTCCTGCTCTCCATAACTAAAAAATTAAGATACCCTTAGTGACCTAATAAACTCCTGTGTCCTCCTCTTCATGTACTTTTCCCCGCCAAAAGATACCACAAAGAGCTAGGCCTCTAACCCAGGTGTACAAAATTCTAAGGGTTTTCACTACTCCTGCTTTGCAACTAGGATTGGCTGCCTGGGCTAAGTGTCCAGACAGTATGTAAAGTCCTGGTTCTGGAAGGTATCAGCCTCACAGGGGGCCCTGCTGCCTAACACTCTGCTATAGCCATCTTGAAATTCATAATAATTTACAAACGAGAGGACCTGCATTTTCATTTTGCACTGTAAATGATGTAGCTGGTCCTGCACTCAAAACAAACAAACAACAACAAAAACAAAACAGGGTAAATCAGGGCCCTGGAGGGTCTTCCCTGGCTGCCACAGAGGGAAAACTTCTGAAATGCAAATAATCACTCCCAAATCTCCTGTGCTGTAAATTTTGATTGTCACAGAACAGAAATCTAACTACCCCTGTGAGAGATACCAAACCCAGAAACATACTCCTTGAAAAGTCAAAGGAAAGAGGAAGATTCTCTGAATTTCACTCATTAAGTGTTCACCTTTAGCCAAAGGAAGTAAAATCAAGCGCAAAATGCACAGCAACCCTACCTCACCGCATTCAGAAGTGAGACCATGAATCCTGCCAGACCTCCAAGATGCAAAAAGTGAGGGAATCTAAGAAGCAGCTCAAGAAATTCTCACAAAGTTGAAGCAGGAGATGAATTGTGACATCATGACATGACCTCATGCCAGAGGTTAAAGGATGGAAGGGTTAGAAGAACAAGCTTTAAATAAGGGTTAAGTATTTGTATGTTTTCAGTGGACCAAATAATTAGAGTCCTGTTTTTGAGGTCAGGATTGAATAAAGAGAGTTTTCCAGTAAATTTTTCAGACTCCATAAAAATAACAGACTTTTGTGGGGTTTTTTTTTTTTTTTTTTTAATTTTCTAGAGGCATGTCTTATTTATTTATTATTTGTTTGTTTGTTTTTGGTTTATACATGCACTGGGTACAGTCAGAAGCACGGGAGGGTGAGAGAATTCACCAGAGCCAGAGCAGGGAGCAGAGCAGGCAGAAGGACCGAAACACTCTGCTCAGGGGAGCAGCGGGCGGCAGGAGAGGTCTGCGCGCCATGTGGGACCCTCCTCCGGTGGCCGGGGAGCAGCCGGGGATCGAACCGGCGCCACAGAGGCCGTGGGTAGCTTCGCAACCCAGCGCTCAACCGCTGCGCCACCGGGGAGGCCCTGTGGTTTGTTTTTATGTGACTGGCTAGTCTTTCCAACTGAGTTCCCTCCATATTCCCTGAGCTCCATTGCATTAGGCATTTTACACACATTAACACACATTAACTCATTAAACACCCTACAGTTTTGTCTCCCTATTTTTATAGGTGGGGAAATTGAGGCTGTAGAGGTAAAGTGTATGACCCATGTAGAGGTAAAGTGTATGACCCATGTCATACAGTGGTGACACACAGGATTACAACTAATTCCTCGTAGTCTGACCCTCTCTTTAGACAAGAAGGTAATTAAGGTTTGTTGTGCTAGAAAAACAGAAAGAACAAAACAGTTCTGGCCTTAAGAATTAAAAGGGAAGGGGCCTCCCCAGTGGTGCAGCGGGTTGAGCACAGCGCTATGAAGCTGTCTGCAGCCTCTGCAGCTGTCCGCAGCCTCTGCAGCGTGGGTTCGATTCCCAGCCAGCCAGGGAGATTCCCACATGGCGCGGCAGACCTCTCCTGTCTCGCCTGCTGCTCCCTTCAGCAGTGCTTTTGGTCCATCTGTCTGTTCTGCTCCCCACTCTGTCTCTGGTGAATCCTCACACCTTCCTTTGCCTCTGGCCTGTACCCCAGCTATTGTATAAATAAAAAATAAATCTTAAAAAAAAAAAGAATTTAAAGGGAAATCCCTAGGAAAGTTAGGATTAGAGTTACAGCATAATGATAAGTGAGAATGAGATACAGTGTGAGAGAGACCCAATTATGTCACTCATCCCAGAGACATCGCATGATGAATATAGGGTACGAATAGCTGGGCTGTGAGTCCTAGGCCAGAGGTCAGGACTCAGAGGGCACCAGATAGAGAAGCAGGAGCCAGTCACAAAATATAGCTGGCTACTCTGGGGACTAGCAGGCCGTCCATCAGTGCTTGAACTTGTTTCCATTCACTGCTGCATCCAGTGAGTGTCCAGAAAGTTTGTTGAGCTCATCCTACCTGCCCAGTGGAGCCAGCTTCCTTTCCAATGGCCACCACTCACAAGCCCTCCTGCAGCAAGCCTTGATAAAGAGGGCCAGCAATATGGAGGCAAAAGCCCTGCCCCAACTCTGGGACAGGACCCGAAGCGGCCACCCCAGTACAGAAGTGTCACTGATTCCTGCTGATCTCTTGTTATTGTGTATTTGCTCACTATGTAGATCTTAACAGTTGTACTAGTATCCCATGGGAATCTGAAATTTTGGTTTTAAAACAGGGCATCATCCTAAAAGAACTGGGAGCTACTACAGTGAAAGCACAATTATAACTAACATCTAGAGTGCTACCCACATCCCAGGCT